CAGCAGCCCCCAGCCCCCCCGCGGTGTCCGCCGCAGCCTCCCGGCCAGGGAGCCGAACCCCGGCGCTGCGCCCCGGCCCCGCTGTGCCAGCATGTCTTCGACGGAGGGCTCGAGTCACGCGGCGGACAAGTCGCCGCGCCCGCAGGTATTCCCCGCGCGCCCCTGGCGCTGTCTTACCACCCCTTCTCCACCTGGGTGTCAGGCCGGACCCTTTTTCCGCCCCCTCTCCCGACTGTGAGTGGGAGGAGGACCAGCGCTTTCCCGGGTCCCCCGCCGCCCTGACCGCTCGCCGGCCCTGTCTCCGCAGGTGGACCGCCTGCTGGTGGGGTTGCGCTGGCGGCGGCTGGAGGAGCCGCTGGGCTTCATCAAAGTTCTCCAGTGGGTGAGTCGATGCTCTAGCCGCGGGCTATTTCGGGAGCCTGGGCTGTGACGCTGACCCGAAGCAATGTGGCCGGAGTGGGGGGCGGGGAGGTGCTGCGGCCGGCCGTGACGGCAGGGTGGGGGGCGGCGACAGGTGGGCGGGGGAGGGGCGGGCTGGGGCTGCTTCTCCAACACTTGGTGGCAGGAGGGCGAGGAGCAAGGCATGCGGAGTCCGGGATTCGGTCCTTCTATGTGCAAGGAGCACTTGCCCAGGGCGCTCACATTTCACCCGGGCGAGAGGACCCGGGTGTAACCTTTCCAGAACTCTGATCCTGCACATACCACTCCTCGGTGGCGGGAGGGGGGAGGAGGACAAGGAGGACGAGGAAAGCCACGGAGGGCAGAGGAGGGAAGGAGGCGGGCGATGGAAACCATCCTGCCCCCCAACCCACCGTCACTAGATCTTGAAGGTGGGCTCCAGGGACAGGGTCCTGGCTGGCAGTTGTCCTGTTGAGGTCACTAGAGTAATCTGGGTTCCTGTGACTGAGTGAAAGGGTGAATGAATGAATGAATGAATGAATGAATGAAGTCTATGACTCTAGGATTAAATAAAAGAAAAAATATTAAGACAATAAAAATCACACTGTGGCCAAAATGTGGCTTGTAGAATAAGATAAAACACTGAGTAGGGAAGCTGGGGCTCTGGGTTTCAGACGTGGACCTGCCTTTTCCAGCTTTGTGACCTTGGGCAAGTCACTTCTTTGGACCTCAGCTTCCAACATTAGTTAACTGTTGATCACACCATTCCCAGGGTCCCCTTCTGCTCTCAACTGGTTGGTATGCCAGAATATTGCCCTTCATTAGACTCACCCCGTGACCTTGAAGAAATCACTTGCTCATTGCCTCAGTTTCCTCTGTAATAGTCTAGGAGAAATACATCTCGTTACCTCACTGGTACTTTGAGATATTGGTATATTCTCTGTCCTTACCAGTGCCCAAGGCCTCCTGAGTGTAAGTTAGGAATGTGGACAGGTGCAGTCACTCTTTCAAATCATGAAAACTTGTTGGGAGCATTTAGTACACTATAACAGAGGAGATTTAAGTTAGACAATCCACACACCAAATGGTGTGTGAATAAATTAATGTGCTTTCAGCCCAGAATTCAGCTAAGGAATAAGTTACCATTAAGACTGAGGAGGATTGAGTTCTAAAGGACTTTTAAATCATAGGAGACAAGAGTGAGCACTGTGTCACTGATTCCTGAATCATCGTTTGGATGGGAATCATCAGATCTGGAATTCAGGGGCAATAGTGCATTTGGGGTTATCTTCAGATATCTGAGACCTTGACTGGGGCTATAGGCCAGGCAAGGAGCTCCCAAGTGCAAACTCTGGGACCTGGTGGGGACTTTCCACTCTCCCTACTGCCTCAAGAGCAGTTGGATGGACTGCTGACTGAGCAATTTCACCTCCCCCCCTCCACTTCCCTGTTCTGACCCACCACTTGAGTACCAGTGGTGGCCATGTAAGAATGATATTAAGGCTTCATGTGACTGCCATCCACAACTAGGGAGCCATTATGAGGAGCAGAACCTGAAAGGTAAGAGTATAATTTTATCATTAAACTAGACAAATGGATCTAAGGGAAATTTGAGAAAGACTGTCAAGGGATAAGGAAAACAATGAGGTTATTAGACCATGGAATCATCCTTCGTGGGGGGATTCTGAAAAGCTTCCCTCTTCAATCCTTCTATCCTTTTCTCAATGCCCCGCCCCCCGCCCCCAATCCACATTTCTGTAAAGGCTGCACAAAACAATGCCTAGGAAAATGATCCTGTCTCCTCTCAGGGTCAGCACTGATCCCTAAGAGTTAAGACCCATTTGACTTTTATGATCCTCAACTTCTTAGAGAGGGGGTGATGCCTTTCTCTCATAGTGCTAAATCTGGGGGCCCAGGGCTAGACTCTGAACTCAGCCTTCATGCGAAGGGCAGCATCAAAGGGAGACATGATTTGCTTTCACTGCCATCCTGGCAGCCTAGCGTGAGTTTCACTTGCCCTGAGTCTCTGCAGGATGAGCTCATGTAAAGGTACACAGGAACCAGCACCAGAAATGACAGAGAAAATGTCATTTGGGATTTTCACTCATTTCCTGCTTGGAGGGATCAAATGCTCCTGGGCTGGAAAAGGAAAAAAAGAAAACACAGATCTTGCATTTATTGTAATGATGCTTGAAAACTTTTGTTGTCGGGGCACCTGGGTGGCTCAGTCGTTAAGCGTCTGCCTTCGGCTCAGGTCATGATCCCAGGGTCCTGGGATCGAGCCCCACATCGGGCTCCTTGCTCAGCGGGAAGCCTGCTTCTCCCTCTCCCACTCCCCCTGCTGGTGTTCCCTCTCTCGCTGTCTCTCTCTCTGTCAAAAAACAAATAAAATCTTAAAAAAAAAAAAAAAAGAAAACTTTTGTTGTCATTGTTATCCAAAAGCAATTTTGCTGGAATCCTGAAAAGAAGACAGCAATATTAGGCTTTTATTAGTTAGGGGCTTGGCTTAGAGTGTCTTTTTTTAAAATTCAGAAATTAATCTCACCTCAATTCCAATTCTGGACCAAGTCCTCACCAAGTCCTCACAAAGCTAGCAAAATAACATGGGTATAGATCAATTATTAAAGAATGGTTTCCTAAAAAAAGAAAAAAGGCAGATTTTGAGGTTGAGGGGCTTTGGTTTAAATTGAGTCTCCTCTATTTTCTAGCCATAGAGTCTAGGGTACCTAGGGTAAGTAACAAAATCTTTTTGGGCCTTGGTTTCGTATATGTAAATGAGGGTGAGATCTATCTCATGGGTTCACTGGGAGGATATAGTAGGTGATTTTTGTAAAGCATCGAAGCATTCAGTCCAAGCAGTCCAGGAGATATTCAATGAGTGTTGGTTCTCCTTTCCCCTGTTCCTAAACCTCCTCTTTCCCCTAAATTTCTTCTTTATGCAGACTGTCAGCTAGACTTGTCCTTTAGTTAGATTACTCAAATGTCACTGCCAAATCCTCGCTTTGAGGGTAAGGCACAAAGGAATCTCCTGGATTACTCAGTCACTATTCCCATAGTAAGTCATATTATCATTAACTGGGTGTACCCCTGATCAGTAATTTACCTTTGAGTTGCCAAAGCCACTTACTTGGCTCTCGGGTCTCTGTAATGAAAATAAGCTATTTCAGTTGGTGTGGGGGAATGCGAAAGAATACCATCAGAGTCCATAAAACCAATGAGATGACTGTCGGGGTAAGAGTAGGGGGAAACCTTGTCTTCCTTGTGTCCCGCACTAACTGGGGATGGGAGTGATGTCAAAGGATCATCACCATCAAGCAAGTCGGCACCAAACTGGTGAGGTTATTCTGACACCCTTCCCAAAGAGAAGCAGAGACAGGAGGAGGAGGGCATGGAGAGCAGTGTATGACCATCGCTGTCCCCAGCAATACAGGGCCAAGAGGAGGAAGGCTGGTTGGCATCAGAACTTCAGAGATCCGCATCCCTCCCCTCCACTGTCTCAGGGACTCCACCTCTCCTTGGCTCCTGTTCTTTTTGAGCAGTTTGCCCAACTCAGACCCTTGTGTTGGGTGACATGGATGGTTTCAGTTCTTTCCTGCTCTTCTCTGTGCCTCAGTCACCTGGCACATTTAGGGAAGAAGGCAAATCTGATGCGGAAAGGTGGAGGGGACGGGGTCAGGGTGTCTTCCTCTGCTCCTGCATCCCAGGTGCAGAGCTACTCCCTGCCTCCTTACAATCTTCACTGAACATAGGAGAGAGCTCTCTCTCTTTTTTTTAGCCTTAATGACTTTGTGATGCAGAATTTGATTTTGCTTGTTTGAGCATGACACTTTTTTCCTTGACGTAAACTCAAAAGAGAAGGTACCAGGTCTTATTCATCTTTGTGTCACCAGCACTTGGCACATAGGGGATGGTCAATAACTGTTTGTTGACTAATGAATGAATGAAGTAGAAAGAGCACTGGACAGGGAATCAGGAGATGTGAATTCCAAGGCTGGCTCTCATGATAGCTAAATATGACTTTGGGAGAGTCACTTGATCTTTTGGGACTTTAGTTTCCACCTTTGTGAAATGAGACCATTGGGCTTAATAATCTCTGAGATCTTTTTTTTTTAAGATTTTATTTATTTATTTGACAGAGAGACAGTGAGAGAAGGAACACAAGCAGGGGGAGTGGGAGAGGGAGAAGCAGGCTCCCCGCCGAGCAGGGAGCCCTATGCGGGGCTCCATCCCAGGACACTGGGACCACGACCCGAGCCGAAGACAGACACGTAATGACTGAGCCAGCCAGGTGCCCCTAAGATTTTATTTATTTATTGGTCAGAGAGAGCGAGAGAGCACAAGCAGGGGGAGAAGCCGGCAGAGGGAGAAGCAGGCTCCCCGCTGAGTAGGGAGCCGATGTGGGGCTCAGTCCCAGGACCCTGGGATTATGACCTGAGCCGAAGGCAGCTACTTAACCAACTGAGCCACCCAGGCATCCCTGTCTGAGATCTTTTTCGCTCTGCTGTCCTGTGAACCTGTGAGGTTCCCCTCAGATTTTTCCCTTCGTCCACTTACCTAGCAAACTTTATGTTTTCTGACATCAGATGACTGTGTGATGTTCGGATTTAATTATATATTCTGATTGACAAAGAGCTGTGTAAGGTGGTTAGGGATTCCTGACTTTCAAAGACTCAGAAGAGAAGAGGATACAGCTAGGACTAAAGCTATTCGTGGTATATTTCACTCTTTGAGGAATCATAGAGCAGGGTTCAGGATTTTCAGAACTTCAAGGTTATCATCTAGCCATAGCAGAACTTTGCACAGTGATGGTAAAGTTCTGTGATCTGTGTTGTCCAATATGGTACCTGCTAGTCACATGTGGCACTTGAAATGTGGCTCGTGTGACTGAGCAGCTGAATTTTTAATTTTATTTAATTTGAATGAATTTGAATGTAAATAGCCACACTTGGCTGGTGGCTACCATGGTGGATAATGCAGCTCTAGAGTACGAGTTCCATGAAGACAGAGATTTTTCTCTTCTGTTCACTACTAAATGATAGTGCTTAGAACCGTGCCTCGTACACAGTAGATGCTCAGTAAGTGTCATCTTTCTGTAGATATGCCTGTCAGGGAAGTGCTGGTGAAGAGAAGGCCCCACAACTGACCATTCATTGCCCCAAGTTAGGAATACCTATTTTCTTAGGGGACCTATATAGAGCTACCTGCCAATAGGTAAAAATATATCCAACTGTGCTGCCCTTCCTAGAATGTGACACCCTAATGGGCCAGAAGCTAGGAGGAATAAAGAAACCTGTAAGAGGCTCACAGAGCTGACAAAAATTCGAGAATTCCCATGAAGAAGAGCTGGAGAAGCACCACTGTTAGGCCAGTGAGGACGCTTGGAGTATATAAAGGGTAATGATGCAGAGGCTTTGGGCAACTTCTCTTCAGCTCGGTCAACATGAGCAAACAGGGCTCTACACTTCAGCCTCTGTAAATTAAGCCAGATGAGGAGGTTATTCAAGCATTGGGGAGAGTTATGCTCTCTCCTTTCCTGGATGTGTTTTTTTTTTTTTTTAAGATTTTATTTATTTAACAGAGACAGAGATAGCGAGAGCAGGAACACAAGCAGGGGGAAAGCAGGAACACAAGCAGGGGGAGTGGGAGAGGGAGAAGCAGGCTTCCCGCTGAGCAGGGAGCCCGATGTAGGGCTCGATCCCAGGACCCTGGGATCATGACCTGAGCCGAAGGCAGATGCTTAACGACTGAGCCACCCAGGCGCCCCTACTGGATGTGTTTTAAAAATGGAGACCATTCTCATTTGTCTGATCTAAACCTCCTGGAAACAGAGAGGTGCCCATTATGACCTTTAGAGAGGGGTCAGTGGCTCCAGCATGGAGAAGATCTGCCAGGCCAGGCGATGCAAGGCGGGGCAGGGGCAACGGGCACGACCCAGGGGCAGAGCACAGCTGCTGGTCAGCCCAGCCAAGAGCACACTGATTGCATTACCCTCATCCAGTGAGAGCAAGGCCTCTCGATTGCCTGCTCCAAACCCCTCCTTGTACAGATGAGAAAACTGAGACTCAGAGAGCAGAGCAATTTATTAGAGTTCACCCAGCTAATGAGTGACC